GCCAGCCCGCAGAATAAGAACCCAACATTTTCTAGAAGGTATGTAATATTCATTGAATGAATATGTGAATGTGTATCCTCTAGGAACTGTATGAAACCACAAAACCGCTAGTAGAGACATTAGTTTCAGTAAAGATTTCTATCAATCAAAGAACAGTAATTTTCAGTATATCTTTCCGATAAGCAAACCCCTTATCTCTTCTTAACTTTATCTTATCTTAACTTTAGTCATTATTAGGTTTTAATTTAGAGCCACACAGAGGCAATATTTGGATATGCATGTGTTCCGTTCAAACTTAGGTCATAATTCCATACATTGCAATACAGTAGTTATTTATTTAACTCTGCTCATGTTTCCAGATGTGGTCACTGACAGACAGCAAGACAACTCTTCTGCAGTTGGGCTTTTCTTTTTCCCAGTTAGTCATGTTTCAGTGTTCTTCCATGCGTCCTCAGCAGAAGAGGATTATTGGCGAGGCACTTTCTCCTCTCTCTGACTCAGCACGCAAAACATGCGGTTATGTCTCATTTCAGAAAACATGGTATTGCCCAATAGGACATGACTGCTGCTGCCAAATGTCACTCTAAAAAAATAGGGCAAGTCTGTATTGCTGTGGATTAAGGTCAGAAACAGGATCTCAGTGCCTCTATACTGAGCTTCTCCCTATCCACTTCTGCTGCCCCAGAACTACTTCCTTTACAGTAGTTAAGATACGTTATGTCCCTAATGTCTGCCCCATCTAAAAATAAGTGCTCTTGACACACAAGAGACGTCAGGCTAGCACAGCAGGATGCTGAAGCGTCTCTAGATGCGTCACAGGGCTTCTCTTACACTGAGTTGCAGCAATTTAGGAATTCACACTTGATAAATGCAGTAAGGGCGGCTTCTTTTTATCTCTTGCAAACAGTGCCAGGACTGATATATCCCTGACCCTTATTTGGGGCTCCAGCTTATTTTTTTATGCTGTTCTCTGGAATAATGAAATTCTAATATTTCATTAGGCAAACATGCACTGTAGTGCTATATGCTTTTTCACTGACATCTATAGATGAACTCTGTAACTGACAGCAGCTGGCTCAACTTTTTGTGGGGGTCTACATTTTCTTGAAAGATGCTCATACAAAAACAGACTCTTTTTGCTCTGATAGTGTTTCTCAAGCAGAGGGAGAATGCCTGAACTCTGGAAAGTTTCTTACCTGTAGCTGGAATCACGCTGCTTCAGCTTTTATTTTTATCTTGTTTTCCAGATATAACAGTACAGCAACAGGCTTCTCTGCATTACACTTCAGTTAATGTTAGTCCTTGATTCAAAAACCCTTGCCCTTGCTCCTTTTTCAAGGTGAGTGAAAATCACAATGGAAGCTAAATGAAACGTAACTATTTTTCTTAATAGCAACATATTACCTTGTCCCCGATATGGGCTAGATTAAGCTGACTAAAGCCCTTCCAGAGCAAGGTCCAGAGAAATAATCTGTCCTTGTTACCCACTATATGGGTGGCAAAAGATACCACTTACAATATTACTACTTAGAAACTGAGAGGGAATAGTATTGCAGGTATTGTTTCTGCCTCTTTTCTGGCATTCTCTTCACTGTAGTAATTCTGTAGATGCCTTTGTTGGCGAGGAGGAATTTTATTTTGGAAGTTTGAGTACTGCACTATTTTCAGAAACCTCCCAAAGGTTAGGAAAATACATGGACCTACAGAGGATGCTTAACTGAAAGTCTTTTAAGAAAGTTTTTCTCAATTTTCAATTGTAACAGCATTCTTTAAAAATTTATCAGAACTAAGGCATATAAACATTAGTTACTGGTTGGTTTTGTTTTTTTTTTTTTTCAACATGTACATAAGCAACCAATCCTCTGAGAAAAAAGGATTGTAAGGGAACTACACTTGAGAAACCACATAGCAAAGGAACCACTAATGGCTGTAAAAACAGCCTCCAAAACTCCCCTGAAAACATTCATTTTCCATCAATTGGTTCTACTTGGAGGATTACCATGTTTGGCAAAGGAAACTACACTGCCATATGTCTTAATGGCATTCACAGCTTCTTGACTGATGTGGGTTGTGATTCATTTGTTGGCTAGGACCTTCACTTTTGTCTGCTTGCTCTACAAGATTTCAAGTGTTACACAATTCTATTGAAGCAAGAATTAGATGTCACCATGTTTATCCATTATGTGATCAACATTGCCTCTAGGTCATCTTTTTTAAAAGAATTCTGTGATTTCAAAGAATAAAAATGGTCGCTCTTGTCCTGTCAGCAAAGCAATTCTGTTCAGGAAAACTTAACTTCTCCTCCTCATGAGAATACTTTTCTTCAGGATTCATATCCTTTTATGTCCCAGGAAACTGCAGAGATCCATTCCAAGAGTGAGGAGAAAAAGCCAGACAGTTGCTTCCCTTTGAAGGAAGTTGGAACCTACCTTATCCAACACGTCAGGCAGTATTTGGCATCCACTACTAAAGCAAATGCAAGGTAGGCTAGGTAAAAGTAATGGCCTTCTCTTTACGAGTTCACAGACATATGCATTATTGTAAACTGCTCATTGAGACCTCCAGCTTGTCTCTTCGTTTCCCCTTGGCAAACTTGTTCCTGAACTTCTTAGAACTAACTTATCCACAGTATTTCCCACTTTCAAGCCATTTCAAAGTCCCATACAGACTAAAGCAAAAGCAAGCCATGCTCTCAAAGTGTTATTAAAGCATTTTGTTTGATCATACCTAAACCTGCACTTATTGCGTTATTTCAGAGTCACAACTGGAAGGGGACCTCTATTCATCTAGTACTATCTCAGATATGTATGGATGACAGAACCCTAAGTAAACAGCCGTTTGCCCTTGTTTTTCTGGTTATTACAGAAACAAACAGTACATTGAATTAAAGTATCATTTTTATATCAGCACAATATTAAAAGTCCAAGGGTTAAGCTGTTTCTAAACTAGCCTCTATTTAAATAAATCTGGAAACTCTGCACAACTCAAAGCTGTCTCATCGAATCATGGAATGATTTGGGTTGGAAGGGACCTTCAAAGGTCATCTAGTCCAACCCACCTGCAACAGGCAGGGACGTCTACAACTAGATCAGATTGCTCAGAGCCTTGTCCAACCTGACCTTGAATGTTTCCAGGGATGGGATATCTACCACACCTCTAGGCAACCTGTGTCAGTGTTTCACCAGTGAAACACCCTCACTTGATCCTTAGATCTAGTCGAAATCTACCCTCTTCTGGTTTAAAACCATTATCCCTTGTCCTATCACTACAGGCCCTGCTAAAAAGTCTGTCCCCATCTTTCTCAGAAGCCCCCTTCAGGTACTGGAAGGCTGCCATAACGTCTCCCTGGAGCCTTCTCTTCTCCAGGCTGAATAACCCCAACTTTCTCAGCCTGTCCTCATAGGAGAGGTGTTCCAACACTTGGATCAGTTTTGTGGCCTCCTCTGGACCCGCTCCAATAGGTCCATGTCTTTCCTGTGCTGAGGGCTCCAGAGCTGGACAGAGTACTGCAGGTGGGGTCTCACCAGAGCAGCACAGAGGGGCAGAATCACCTCAACTCAACCTGCCGGCCATGCTTCTTTTGATGCTGCCCAGGCTATGGTTGGCCTTCTGGGCTGCAGTGTCTTCGCAGCTTCGGATGCTTGCTAATAGTCATTCTGTCCTATTTATTGATAGAATCGCTGTCAGTTAAATTACACATTTTAGAAAAAAACCTCCATAATCCTGTTCCTAAAACACTAAAGCACAATAAATTGTCAGGCTCAAATATTTACAAAGAATAGGCTGGAAAACAAAGATGACAAGCCTCAGCTGAGCTAGTTGCTTGTGGTCTGAAGGCCCTGTATTATCTGACCCTGCATGAACATGTGAATGTTACTACATGAAAAGTAAGGATTCCTTACTCCTGAAGTCCCCTCTAACTGATGAGGGAAGAATGATTTCAGGGAGAGGGGCAGATGAGATCTCAGCATGCACGCAGAAGTATGCGACAGATGTGTTTCATCGAGCTTGGCTTACTTACACAATTTAGTGAGGAAGTCAGTCTGGCAGCTTCACAACTGCAACACTTGAAAACCAAGCATTTTCCTTTTGCCAGCAATAAAGGTGTTTCTATGGCTATTGGTTTGTTTGAAAATCTGTTGGAAGTTTGTAAACCTCATTGAACCATTGAATACTGGCAGTCGAAGTTGGCAGGCATTCTTAATGGATCAGGGAAAAACCTTTCTGTGATCACCTTATGAAAGATGTACACTTGGAAGTTACCCTAGAAAACCCACTCAACCATTACGTCATTAGTATCAATATTCTATGTTTTGTAAATCCTGCATTCAGGGAACTACTTTCATTTTAATTCCGCATGTGGCTTTATCCTGGGCAATTACTGTGTCCTTTTAAAGCAAAATTTATTTCAATACACTAGCTTAAAAAGCAGTGCTGTTGAAAAGCTACATCCTTACTTCTGTAAATAACGATCAATTAAAAACAGCAGCAGAAGTCAATAATGAGAAACTGATACAAATACCTGGCCCTCATGAAATTTTAAGAACCTGCTAAGGTCCCAACTCAAAAAAGCTTTTAAACACTTCAAAGTCACATGGTAATTCACGTTTCTCAGACATACAATTAATTATCTTACTGAATTTGATACGCCTACAAATACCATCTCAGCGTATATGAGCACAGCTCTGCGTAAGGAATCCTCCATTGCATAATATAAAGGAAACTATGAAAAGTGTCTGACCAATATTGAATATAGTTATTCAGTGAAGTTTAATGGGTAACTCAGTGACTGAATTAAAGGTCAAATATTCAAAACTAGTATAAAAAGCATCTTTACTGAACAACTTATGAAAAGGAAATTGTGTATCATTTGAAGCCATTAAACAAATTACATGACTGATACTGACAAGAACTCAGTAAAACATTTGCCAAACATTCTGCTTGTTGACAAAGTGTTCAGTAAAAAATATACGAAACGGGTCACATTACACAAGCAACCATTTAAAAAGTCAATGTAAAAATAGCAATTACATTTCTAACTGCTTTTTTCCCGGTCCGTTTTCCAGAACATGTAGAGGACAAATGTCACGTGGATCATTTTTCAGTCTCATTCTCAGGTTCACTGTCTCCACTATCACTGTCTCTTCCGGGATGTTCTGGCATTGTTCGATGTTCATCCGCTTCGGACACTTTCAGTTCTCCTTCCTTTATCGTTTCTTCCCCTACCTTATTTTCTTCTTCTTCTTCTGCATCTTCCTGCATGCCTTGCACTTCACCTTCTACTTCAGCCTCTTGAGTTGGAGTAGTTTCAGTTTCTTCAATCATGGCAGGTGGGGGCAGTAAGCGCTAGGTGATTAGAAAAGAAAAGATTTTCAGTTTTTACAACAAATACATCTATTTGGGCATCTATGTCCATTTTAGCTTGAATTGTTCACCTTCTATTTAGGATTTTGCATTAGATAACAAGCTAACAATAAAGACTTAAAATTTAGACATCTTAATCATTTGTAAGTACTTAACTCCTATATATGAAAAAATTAAGAACAATCTTGGTTCACATAATGGTCGTCTTAGATGCTTTTTTTGCCTTAAAAGAGGGTGTACTTCCAATTCAAAGATACCAAACACATTTCATTATCCCGGTCAGACAAGTAATAGGGCTATGGTAAACCCCTACTTGGAGCAACAAGTAACTGTAATCTCATCTATTACCATTTCAATCTCCTAGATACGTTTAACTTGATTTTGAGATCTTTAATACGCCTGTCTTTAACAACCCATTCCAGTAACTTCCCCTTGAAATGTCTTATAAAATGTTATGTGAACATTACGTTATCTGTACTTATACAAGTTTCACTCACAGCTGTTAAGTGTAGAACAACTCAAGTTCCAGTAACAGTTAAAGCAATGCTTTGATATTTTTCACATAGCACTTCTGGAAAAGTAATTTAGTATATTCAAAGTGTTTTGCTCGCAACTAAGAAAGAAGTTTGCAAATCATTATAAGCAGCAATGGTAGCCATATTACAGACTTTGGAAAAAAAATACCAGGAATACAGTGAGCTGAAGATTATGGATAAGTGCTATACAATTGCAGGCTGTACAGAAACACTCATACTTCTTGCAGCCGGATGTTATTTAATGATATGATGGATATTTCCTTGGAATATTGTGAAGCATTTCAGTGAAATAAAATCTCCATAAACCTCCCATGGATGATTGTTTAGTTTTGTTTTGCTTAAAGGCAACTTGGCTTCACATGACAAATTAGGTGTTTAATTACAGTGAAGTCTTATCTTTAATTAGATGACACTAATATTACGAATTTCTGACAAGCATAGGCAAATCTATGAAGCAATTATGATTACCAGCAGAGACATGAAAAAAATTTTTTATAGACTTTGAAGTTATCATACTGGCCCCTATAATTCATCTGTTCACACAAAAAGTGTATTTCAAATCCAGAGATCCTTCAATTACAAAAATATATTCTCGATGCGCAAGACAAACTCAGACTCCTGTGATTTATTGAGATGTATGTTGTTCTTCATGACTACTACTGTTAAGAGTAGCATAAAAGAAAAGGACAAATAGCACGTACTAAATAGGGTAAAAGAAATTTAATGCCTGCATTTTTTTTTGTAGTTCACTTTTTGGCTTCTCCTGCAAGGAGAATGTGATTCATTGCCACAGTAGGAAACCAGCAGTTTTGTAACTAATTTTAGCTAGCAATGGATAAGATTAAAATGCTAAAAAGAATAACTAGTGTTAGCAGAAGGATCAGGTCCATATTTGATTAAGGTGTCAAGCAAACCCATCTTTTGGTAAAATTTAGATGGTACCATCTGCCCTTTCAGGACATGTATACACTTCTCAGTTTTGACAGGGCTATTAATTTGCATCTTGAATGTGACGAACTGCACAGTCCACTGAGTCTTCATCATATGCTATGTGCACAGCTGAGAGATCTCTAAATATATTAGACAAATTGGCTCCAAAACAAGTCTTGTCATGTGCTTCATAGGACTGGGTTTCCCAGTCATAAAACCTTCCTGAATTTTAAAAGTTAACAGGAACAGTCTCAAACCTCAACAGCATCTCATGTCACTTACTAAAAATCAATTCTATTTTAAATGCACACCTTCCAAAAGTTAGAAGGTCCTTACCTGTTGATAGTGGCGTGTACTCTGTATCATGTGCATATACATATTGTACACAAAGTTAGCCATTTGAGGCATGTTCTTAATAACATGTATTTGGTGAGATGGTCTTTCTCCATTCTAAAGAAGGGGAAAAAAGTAGACATTCAGTAAGCAAAGCCAAACAACCATTATTCAAAGGTTATTTAACTATATTAGAAAAGATAAATCCAAGAAATCAAATAATGCTTTTTAAAGAAAAAAAAATAGCTAAATTCTTTGGAAAGATAAGAAGTGTAGGTCTTACACTTCAGGGAACTGGATTAATCATAATTCTGCAGCGCAATGAAGAAATTTCAAACAGAAAGGCTGGTTCTGAAGCTTAGTCCACAAAGTACATTTTGGAATTGAGTCATTTCACATATTAAAGGCACAAATAGCATAAGATCAGATTAGGACTTAGCTGACTTGTCCACCACTGTCCAGCTCGCTGACCATACACACTGCATTCTTTGCTGCACAGTGAAAGTTTCAACTGAAGGGCTCCCTCCCAAACTTGTCAACAGCACTTAAGACCAAGGAAAGATCTGTAACTGTATTGTGAGTTCATGTAGGCACCCCTTCTCAAAGCTCCAGGAAGCAAAGCAGATCTGCTCTTCCATTTCTTCACTTAGCATCCTACTCTGTGTGTCCTGTGCTTAGATGCTTAGTACAAACCTTTCCCTAAAGATCTAGTGTGGTATTACAGATTACAGGTTCATACCTATGAACCCAGGTCAGCAACAAAACTCTTTTGCAATTCTGGACCCAATTTAAAACAAAACAAAACAAAAAAATTAATCGCTTATCCTGAATTACTCAGTCAAATGTAATTTTACATCCTTTAATAAGAAGCAATTAGCTTTGTGTGGCCATTTTTTCTGAGTAATAACATTTTGCTTTGTAGCAAGACAAAAATATGTAACACACTAAAATCTTACCTATTTATTATAAAAGAAAAACATCGAATCACTTAGGCAGAACTTAGGAAAAAGCTGGCACAACAGTTACATTGATAACTACGTTTTGTGGAAAAATCAGTTAAAAACAGCTAGTGTGTATCATGATAAAAGTTAACTGTAGGGATGTAATTATCCAAGAGGCACTGATTTAGCAGAGAAGACTGTTCCACCTCTTATAGCACCCTAAAAAAGTGGGCAAACACACACCCTCATTACAGATAGCAACACTCAGCGCAGCTGTTCCTACCTGTCTTGATGTGGGAAAACATTCTGTGGGAACAATATGGAGGTGAAGTGGTCGAGCTGTGAGTTGGCTGAAAGCTGGAGTTAGCTCAAAACAGTTGTGAAACAGCGATACCCTTGCAAAAATATAAAGCCCGAGCCTGGCTCTTGACATGGCAACAACTAATCGTCGGACATCCCTTCAGAAAACAAACAAAATGAAACATGTTCTTTTCACTGATGACACAGCTGCAATAAAAATAGCTAGAAGTATACAGAAGTTTAATTAGAAGGAATTATAAAAATCATCTGCTAAAATACTACTTTGTCTTTAGGTTTTTTCCCTA